GTGGCCAAAGGATAAAATATGGACGTTCAAAAGCACCCCAAGAGTATTTGGAAGCCCGATGTTCGATGCTGTCCTTAATAACTCGTCACTAGATAGAGAACTGTTGCAGTGGCTAAGAAATAGAAGGCATGTTTTCCAAGCGACATGGGATAGTTAGGTAAAAATCTTCTTTATTATATTTAGCAGGTTGCCCTTTTGGGAAAGCGAGCAGTTGGGGCAACACACAGTTACTATAAATAGTCTCATATCCAAGAACAACCATTCACTGCAAAGGTCCTCAGCTTTCCCCTCATTCTTGTGTATAGCTTTGCCATATATGTGATTTTGGAACTTGGTTATAACTTTGGGTTTAGGGCCATTGTTATTCTGGTTAGATTAGGCTCACATAATTTTCAGAGAGGAGAATTCATTTGACTAGGTTTTCTCTTCTGTCTTCTTTTTTTTTTTTTTTTTGTTACCTTAGTAATAATAATAGTTAATGTGTTCTTTCTTGTTCCCTAATCTATGAAAAGCCTAGCACAGAGAAAAGAAGGATAAAGAAAAAGTGAAATATATTATTTTTTGCTGGTAGCAACAGAATAATACAGTATTAATTAATACAATCAGCAAATTCATTAGCTTGTCCTCCTTGAAAACGAAATCTTGGCTCGAAAAATCTTCTCCTTTGAGCCAATGATCTCACTCTTATTGCTTAGAGGCCTTGGCCAAAATGGTGAGTCTTTCACAGCTTAAATGAAGGTTTTGGCTCCATACAGATCACTCTTCTCGTCTCGGAGAATCCAACCTTTACCACATTGATTCGTATCCTCGTTTTCTCTAAGTAAGTAATATGGCAAAATTAAACAAATCCTTAGGAGAGTGGCACTGAAGTTTTATATAAGATTCAATTACGTATCCTCGTTTTTCCATCGACATCTAAAAATGCGTATCATCTATCTTTTAGTTTACAAATAGGGAAATAGTTATACAAATTTACGATATATATAAAAGATTTTCAAGAAAAGTGTAATATCGAACAACTTTGGTATTCAAATTAGCTACAAACTCACTAATAACGTTAGTGAAATCAAAAGACTAAGAAGGTGAACTATCTTCCTCATCGTCTGAATCATCCGAACTGTCGATTCTCCGTTCAGCAATCGCTGGAAATAAACGTTGTCGAATGTCCGGAGACGGTTGATTACTGTCTGAAGACATCGTATCAGTTTCCTTCTTACCCGAATGGTTCTTCGTCTTCGTTGTTTCCTTAACTTCTCTGCAAACTTTCTCCAACATAATCAAGAAATCGCGCACTATAGCGAACAAACGTAGCCCTTCGTTTTTCGCAGATTTCCCATGGAAATAATCAGCAGAGCTTTTCACCAACACCATTATTCTCTCTTCTTCTTCTTTCAACCATTTGATGTCAGCATCTGCACGTTCTATAAATCCAGCTAATGCTCGTTCGAAATCGCTCTCTTCGTCCATCGTTTTCAAAAACTCCCTTGCATTCGTAAGCGAGCCACTTAGATTTGCCAATGTTGCAGCCAATCCATCAGCGTCTATGATGGCTGCTCTCTTGACATCTTCAAGCTCTGTTGTTAATCCCGTAACCACCTGAAGCCCCGTGCTTCGGTAACGCTCCACTGATTGTGGACTAGAATCCGCTACTGAATCATCTGTTTTAACACTTGAGAAGCTTCGGCTCTGAAGGCGAAGAGCACGAACGCCTTCAGAACGAATGATCTCGAGAACAACGAAATGTAAAAGTGTAGTTTTGCCATCAGTTCCCTTGACGTCAGAGAGTTTTAAAAGAGTATCGAGTTTGAAAGCCTGCGCATCACCGCGGAAAGTTCCTACATTCATTCGGTTTCCTGTCTTGAGAACTGCCTCTAGTAGTTTTAGAAACAGTCTGCTGTTTCTAAGTTTCTTGCAAGCCACCTGACACAAAGACATATACAGAGAGATTAGAAAAGTGATGGTAGACTCTTGTTTTCAAGTATTTTTTGTCAGTGCCTTACCTCGAGAGTTGCGAGAGCTTCTTTGAGGCCAGAGACTTCTTCTTGAAGTGAGATCATGAATAGAAGTGACTCTATACGTTTAAATGCAAAAGGTATATCGACAAGAATTTTCAAGAATCGCTCCGCGGGGCCAAGTAAGTGAAGATCGCCCGAGTATAGTCTAAGTTTGAGTTCTTCTTCTGATGTTGGAGCCATCTTCAGCAATGTTTGTAGAAGCTCCACTGGGAGCTCATTACCTTATGAAACAGAGAAGAAAGATACATTCAGTTCTAATACAAAGACCAAAGCCACTAAAATGGTAAAGCAAATTAGATTACCTTCTTTGATTGCATCGACGACTTCTTCTGTTGTTACATTCAAAGCTCGAAGAAGAATAGATAAGTTTTGAGCTTTCCTAGTGTCAATTATCTGTATATATTGAACAGGAGATTCGCGTGACGACGAATCGGTACTCCTCTGACCGTTCTTGTTTTTGTTACCATCATTGTAACCGAAAAGCGTCTCCATCGCCTCTTCGTTGAACCTGAAAGCAGAACGTAAGTTAATCAAGCCCGGAAACAATGTTAAAGAAGTACAAGATTCAACAATCTAACTCTTACTGGAATGAACCGGCGCTAATCTCATGCCAAACCATTTTCTGATCAGGGTTGGCCATTTTATCCCAGAAGAACGGCTTTAGTTTTGTTTTTGGAGCTCCAGTCTCAGAATCAACATCAGATGCATCTCCAGAGGAAGTATGTCCTTGACGTTTTGGAGCCACACCTTTTGGTGGTGCAGGTGGAGGACGAGCAATTTTAGGTGGTGGAGGAGGCTGTGGTTTAGGAGGAGGAGGAGGCGGTGGCTGTGGAGGTGGAGCAGGAGCAGGAGGAGGAGGAGCCGCTGATCTTCCCGGGGGAAGCTTCAATGGAGGAAGTCCAGCCGATGAAGATTCAGCCGTTGAAAATTCATGACCATTTCTTTTAAAAGATACTCTAGAAAGAAACGACCTCTTTTTCGAACTGGTAGCACTAAACATTTTCCGGCTCGTGCTTGCGACGGTGGGCGAGTTCTCAGTAGATCCTGAAAAAAAAATGAGTGTACATTTTCAAATGAGTTTACAAAAACATGAACCCTTTAGGCAAAAAGGCATCATACCAGTTGATAAACGTAGAAGTGGTCCTTCATCTCTTGGTCCATCTCTAGGCCCAACCGCGTTGTTGCGATTGCGTTTGAAACAACACAAGAACATCAATGCAACAAGAACAAACGTTAACACAGCTGTTGAAGCAACAGCTATGATAAGTTTCATCAAGACATCATCCTTCTTCTCTCGTGGTGGAGGAGGAGGACCCGGAACACTTTGACTAGGAGCAACAACACTCGGTTTCTCCTCACTTGGACCGGGACTCGATTCATCCGGTGTCTCAGCTGGAGGTTCATTTGGAGAACTTGCAGGTGCTACGAGATCATAACTACGAGGATTCGGTGCAGGACCTGGCGCAAAACTTGGCCCAGGTCCAGGCGCGAAACCCGGTGCAGGACCGGAAGCTAAATTTGGAGCAGAGACACTAAACTTTTTTGGATAACTGATCAGCTTCCTTCTCGGATTTTGATGAATCCATGTTTGCTCTGCCTATCAGAAAATGAGATATGTGTCAAAACCAAAAGAATCAAAAATTTGAGCAAATCCAAGAATAGCTTCAAAACGTTATCTTGATTTGTATCATACAGTTTCAAACAGGGAAAAAAATGTTGCAGCGTGATAAATTACGAAAGTAATCTTGAGTATCAATGAATCTCAACGATAATGAAATTACCACATCGCCGCTATAGTCGATAGAGTTTCGATATACGGAGAATCGAAAGAGATTTGCACCGTCTCGAGAGAAAATCTCCTCGGAAACACAAACGAAAACAACGAGAGAGACCGCCAAAAACGCTAATCTCAATCTCCCCATCAACTTCGAATCGCGTTTCTCATCTCACGGAAACACCGAATAAAGCTTCCGTTGGCAGAATTTTTGTGGTAACGGCGAAATTTGCAGAGCTTGATCTTCGCCGGAAGCAAACCGCCATGCAGAAAAGCTCCGAACGCTTTTCTACGGCGCCGAACAATCGCAACCACAAACGGAAAAAACGTAATTTGGAAGCAAAAATTTGAAAAACGAAAGAGAAAGCTCTGTTTCAGGATTTTTTTTCCTTTTTTTTTTTGAAGGGAAGCTTTTTTTAGATTTTGTGACTTGTGAGTTAACAGAAACGAAGATAATTTTTATGTTTGTTAAATCGGTTATTCTCTTTAGTTGTTTGTCCTATTGAAATTTGTTTATAATTTTTTTTGGATCATTTCATGATGAGTTTACGATTAATAAGATTATATCAAATGAGGGATATATATATTGACATCATGAGGGACATATATTTCCAAACATATTTTTTGGATCATTTCATAATGAGTCTACGACTAATAAAATTGTAAGATTTTATCAAATGATATATTTCCAAAAATCAGCATACTGAAAGAAATTTTTTAAGATAAAATGATTATACCATTTAAACAAATTTTTAATACACTTTTAGTTGAGAAATACCCTTTTTACCGTTTCTCTCTTAAAAAATGTCCATATATGTTGTCTATTTTCAATTATACCTTTTTCGAAAATGGTCATTGATGACTATAGCGGTTTATGGTTGTTGAACCAAAAATCATTTTATAAAACTTTTTTTTTTCCTCGTTTATAAAACTTTCTAAAACCCTTATAAAATATTTTAAAATCTTATAAAAGTTGTATAATTGAAAATAGATAACAAATGGAAATATTTTTTAAAAAGGATATTGTAAAAAGTATTTTTGAAAATCCTCCTTATTTCAATTAAAAATGGCTCTACATAGTAAGCAAGAAATTTATGGTTTCTGACTAAGAAAGAAATCTGTAAAAGTAAATATTCAACATCAAATTATCCACTCGAAATATATAATCTTTAGTTCTTTACAACCTTAGAAAGTGATAATTATATACAATATTCTGACAATACGTCACAATGATGCATTATTTTACTGACAACACTTATTTATTTTTTTACACAAACTCTTAATCAAACAAATTTTTTTTATTACACAGCCATAATTCAACCAGAAATACACACTTCACAAAATACATAGCAAACACGTTTTATTTCTTCCGGTAACCCAAAACACACAACCAAACATTTACGAAATTTTAACCCCTTAAAGTTGCAAATACCTCTTCTTATTCTCTTTATTTATTTTGATAAAACCTCTTCTTATTCTCACGATTCCTTCTCTTACTTTCTTTGTGATTAGACGATCAATCATATAAATATAATCAACCGTCGACCTTCATGTCGGTTTCAGAGTCCCACTTAAATGCTCCACTTGGCTGAGCCGCGTCGGCGATATCCTCCACCGTCAGCTGCGAATTCGGCGTTTTCAGCGGCACAATCTCATGCCCGTACTTCGCCGCGTCTCCACAGTAATTATCCTTATTCCAAAAACATACAAGTTTTATTATTACATAACAAAACATATAAGTCATTTGGTTTGAATTTGAAGTCTTACTTGATCAGCGTGCATTTTCCTCACCAACTTCTTGAACAGCTCAAAGTTGTCTTCTTGAAAGACCGTATCGGATAACCGAAGGTAAGTAAATCCGTACATTCTAAGCTTCGGTTTACCGTTCGGGTTAACCCCGTTAGGCCTCGCGTTAAGAAGAATTTGATTGTAACCTTTGGCTCCATAGGTCTCTAATGCGTTCTCACCCGCAACTTCTATACCTTCTTTCCATGCCTTGCTCAGTACCTAAATCAATGATTACCAAAATAAATCGAACTTAATCACCGTTGAGTAAACCTTTTTGCAAATCTCTTCTCTTTATGCAGTTAGTTAAATTACCTCTTGAACAAGTTCTTGGGGAGCACTTAGGGCTTCAGCGGTATTGTCGGTATCTTTCATCTCAAGGCAAGTGAAGTTGAGGATGCCGTAGTGTTTTGAGAGCATCCGAGCGATTGGACGGTAACCATCTCTCTTGAAAAGGTTGTAATATCCGGCAGTCAGCTCTGCCGCGTGGCTATGGTGGTTGTACAACCAGTGAATCCCCGAAACCTACCACATTCACATACTCAATTTAGACTCATCTACTAGTTACCTTGGGAGACAAGTTAACTTCAATAGTTGTTCTAGAGATCCTGTTTTCAGTTTAGTTTTCTACTAATTGAAATTGAAGCCAACCAGTTTATATAGAACTTCAGTTCATATTTTAGCTCAAGCATTTCCGGTTTGTTTTCATTTAATAATTAGGGTTTTTTTTCCTGCCCTAGTTCCTATATGTTTATAGTAATACCTTGGCAGCCAAGTTAACTTTAAGTCCAGCAAAGATCTTGTTGGCTTCTCCTATGATCTGATCTCCATGAAAGATGAGTTTGTTCGAGTACCATGTCAAGAAAAACTTCCCCTCCTCCGAGACATAAGTCCCATTTCTCTTGAAAAATCCAGTATCCTCCGGCTTGTCATTGTATTCTCCGGCGTCCTCCGGCAAATCCCACTCAGGGTGCCCTGCTTTCGCCGCCGCTTCCTTGAAATCTTTCTTCAAGTACTTGTCATAACACTAGCATCACCAAAACGCACCGTTTATTGAGGGACAAACTCATAAAAACAAAGAAGTGTGAATAGATTTACAAAGTTAACCTGAAATTCTCCGATGCCGGGAAATACCCAACCTTGGCTTTGGGGGTAAGAAGGATAACGAAGTTCACCGGCGGGACCAAGTCCGACTTCGATGTCAACAATCGCGCCGGCTTCTATCAAATCCGCCATGTTTTCTTTGAAGCTACTCATGTAATCACTGTATATCTGATAATGACGTCAAGCCAAAATCAATTTTGTTAACTACAGTTTCAAAACGCTAATTCGGCGTTTTCTCGTAAACGCAAAAGATGAGATTTAACTACCTGAACCGCGGTTCTTCCGGCGAAGAGGGGAAGATTATCAACACCGATGGAGAGATACTCGATGTCTCTTGTTCCTTTACGGTTAGTGTAGTAGATATCGGGATCGTTGTCACCGACATCGCGCACCCATTGTGGGATCGGGATAGTAACGATGTCGCCGACGTTTCCTCCACATTGGTGAAAAGACATGATTGCTTGGATTTTGAGTCCCAAACGCGCGATTAGCTGGAATAGCGTTTTGTAGGCGGTCCAATCATATTGTTTGGGACCTTTGGATTCTATGATTCCCCACCAAACATCGACCATCACGCCGTCGACGCCAGCTTCTTCTTTGAGACGCTTGAGCTGCGTTTCAAGCGTTTCTGGGTCCGCAAATACGTTATCCACATTCACAACTCCCAGCTGTCACATTCACAACATTGATAATGCTTATGATCAAGACATCGTGGAAAAAGAACAAAAAATATACTCCCTCCGTTTCATAATATAAGTCGTTTTAGGTAAAAGCACGCCGATTAAGAAGATATACTTTTTAAAAGTTCAAACAATCATATAAGAGACCGTATAATATAAATAATCATAAAATATTAAAATAATATATAATTTGCATTGAAACTCGAAAACGACTTATACTGTGAAACAAAAAACTTTATCTAAAAACGCCTTATATTATGAAATGGAGGGAGTATATATATACATTTTTTACCATGTTAATGAATAAGATTGCTAAATCACATATGATGGTGGCTATGTCATTAAACGATTATACTTTATTTGTTCCCTTTTATTCATAAATTCAAGTTTCGGACTGAAATCAATAACTAAATGATGAGAATTATCGTTGTATGCTTAAAATCAAAGAGTTCTAAGCCGAAGCATGTACATCTTTCCGCCAAGATCTCGTATAGTCTTATCCTTTTAACCAACACTCAGACTAATGAGACCTTTAAAGGGTCCTCGCCTTTCGCCACTAGTCCAAGCGCTAGTTGGTTAAAAAATATGTTATTTGCATACACATAAAATAAAATTTCATGGATTATAGTTGAACTCTAGAAAGAATAACTCAAACAGTGATCAACGATTAGTTACCGGAAGCATAACGTAAACGGGAACATAGTTAAGAAGAAGCTTTTCGTTGTAATTGGCAGCCATTTTCTTCTAAATACAAACAAAGAAAGAACTGGTTTTTTTTTTTTTGAGTGTTGTAGGAAAATATAAGCAATAAGTAGTAGTAGTTGAAGCTCACATGTCTATCTTAAAGAAAGCTCAGGAGCTCTTTATATAGCAGTAGAAGATATAGTGTGATTTGTTATGTACGATCTAAAGCGACTGGTGCTCTGTTTTCAGCGGTCCATTTGAGGAGTATATAATGACTCATGACTTTATTGCCCTCTTTGTTTGGCGTCTTCCTTGTCCTCTTTCGTCATTTCATGAGATTCTTTTGATGATACCTTTCCAATAAGGGAAACTACACTCGATGACCACAGACGACCCCGTAATTAACTGACACAATTTTTCACTGTTTGGGAAGGTTCTGTAGCAAAATAATGACCTGTTAACCCCTACCCGCCTATCAGATTGTAAGAGAGAGACATGAGGAACGTGTAGGCGAGTGTCAGAATAGATAGATATCGTATCTCTTGAAAAAATTGTGTCAGAATAGAGAGATATCATATCTCTTCAACAAATGTGATTTCCGAGATTTCTTTTGGGAACAGTTGCATTAATAATCATGAGAACGGTTCGAATTGTTCGAAGAGTTGCGTTTGTGTGTGTCTATTTCTACTGCATTTTTTTGCCTCTTAGTATTCTTAGTGTTCGTTCTCTCTGTTCTCTCTGCGTTTTTTTTTTCTCTCCGATAGTCAAATCGATTTTCCGATTGAAGCGCTTCATTTTCGATTAATTCGTCCAAGTAAGTATCTCATTAAAATGAGATTTTGTTCATTTCTTATGGACCCTTCCATATTTTTTTCTTATCAAATTCTAAATTTTTCTGGGTTTTGTAGATGGAGGAGCTTGACCTCCCGCACCGTCTAATCGCCGCTGGTGAAGAACCGCTTGGGGAGAGGGTTAATGTGTACAATAAGATGAAAATTCTTAATGGTATTATCGACTCGCTTGATGTTACAGAAATCGATCTTATCCGAGATTCTCCACTCGGCGGGTTGTTGGATTTCCCAAACAAACCAGCTTGGTCGGCCAGTTTCGGTCTTTATCTGCTTGGTCGCCAGTTGGACATAGCCAAAGCCAACGAGATCTGGGTTGTTTATGCTGGTACCCCAGTTAGATTTTCTCTTCGTGAGTTTCATCTGGTAACCGGACTTGCTTGTGGGCGATATCCTGCTGTCCCGAAGAAAAAAAGGAAGGGGACTGCTGGCAAAGAGATTCCGTTTTATAGCACATTATTTGGGCTGGAGTCCGATGTTACTGTGGAACGTGTTATCACCATGCTTAAGAAGAAAGTTACTGATGATCCGTCATTGCGTATTCGGTATGCTGTTCTTGCGCTTGTTGATGGATATCTCCTGCCAACATCCCATCATCCCAAAATTATTAAAGAGCACGCTGAGATGTCGGAAAACCTGTCTTCTTTTCTCACTTATCCGTGGGGTCGATTGACTTTTGAGATGATGATGAATTCGATTAAAGAAAGAGAACTTGAACAGCTTGCAACTACTTCTGTCGCTGTGCAAGGCCTATTATACGCCCTACAGCTTGTTGTTCTTCAAGCCGCTCCCGCTATTCAAGAAGGTCCTGTGTCCGAGGAGACAGTCGGTTCTGAGTTTGATGAAGATACTATTGAACTGACTCTTCGTCAGGTAGTTCCGTTTAAGCTCGGTAACGCCAAAGTTTTAGACACGAAGTGCCAGGTGATAATCGTTTTAATTCCTGTTAAATTCTTTGTTACATGATACTCAAATAATTATATCGTTTTATCTGTTAACTGCAGTTTTCCCTTCATAATTGTTTAAGGATTTTGTTTACTTTTCAGACTCACGTTGATCCTATCATCCATCCCGGAGTTCTTCTTGATCCTGCAGAAGATGTTTCGTGGTCAGATGACGAAGTAGATCCGCGGGTAGACACTATGGTAAAGTTGGCGGAGGAAGGATTCAAGTTCAATAATGATATGTTTCCTGGTGGGTGCATCCCATCTGAAGTTGTTGTAGCCCCCAAAAAACAAAAAAGGACTGCAAGTTTGAAAGGTGGTCGTGTCAAGAAATCTTCAAAGCAGGGCAGAATCCCAAAAAATCCAACCGGGATTCGAAGGACTCAGCAATCTGTGCATAATGATGAAGAATCTGTTGGTTTGGTTGATATGAACGAGTTATCTCGGATGTTAGATGCTAAATTGAATGCGCAGTACAAAAAGATCATTAAAGGTGTTTCTGATTGGTTTATTGCAAACACTTTGATTTCTGCGGAGAATGGGGAAGATGTTCCTCCGGAGAATGGTAAAGAAGTTTCTGCGGAGAAGAGGAAAGGGAAAAAGGTTCCTGTTCCCCAGTCTAATCCTCTCCACATTTCCGATGGAGATGATGATTTTGACACTCTCTTTCCCCTCCGTCCACCGAGTCGTCGTCCTTCTCGCATTGGCAAAGCTGCCCATCGCGTTCCCCAAGCGCCCGACGACGGATTGGGACTCAACAATTCTGTTGAAGGGATAGCTTCTTATTATAACCGCTTTGTATCTGGAGATTGCAGTGGGTCAAGGTCAGGGGATGGTCTAGCGAGTCATGTTGATGTTGAAGAAAACGGTTTGGTTAATTGTCAGGTTAGTAGCTAAATTCATTGATATCCGTTTTGCCTCGTATCTCTAATAACGTATCTGTCCTACCATGTTGCCTATATATGATCTGACTTTACATTTTATTTTCTAATCCGTTTAGTAGTTTTCCTATATCATTCGAAAATGTTAATTTCTATGTTATCCCCTAATTACTATCGAAATTATTCTCCCTGCAGTCATTAGAGGAAAGTAGCAAAGTGTCCACCGAATATGGTAACAATGGTAACACCGCGGTAAACAACAATGATGATAACTTGGAGGTTATTGTCTTTTAATATAGCCATCTTTACGTCTCTAATATTATTGTTACCGTATGTAATTTATATTTTTCCTGGATACAATGCCAATATATATTAGATATAATGTTTTATAACATATACCTATCTGTTGCAGGGTGATCATGCGATCGGAGATCCGGTGAATAATGTGCGGGTTAGACGTTAATGTTTAATTTTTTTTTTTTTATATTATTCTTTGTTTTTGCCACTGTGTCTTCCACTGTTGTTTCTTCTGAGGTTTGAAGAATTTTCAATTTTTTTTAATCATTATTGCTTAGTTATCTTACTTATATTGTTGCTGGGTTTCAGTGTTAGTGTGGTGTTAGCGTCAATTCCGACTCTTCTAGAGTCGATGAAGATGTTTTCGAATTTTCCACTCTAGTAAGTTTTCTAGCTAACTTTAATAATATTTTCATAACCTAATTATTACCTGTTCCAGGACACGGAAATGGGAGATGTTGCCGATAAGGAAGCAGCACACACTGAAGGAGATGATGAAGAGGTCTTTCAAAATATTCCCCAATCTTATTTCGGAGGTAATATGATTACAAAAACCATAACTTTATTGTTATCTAGACAGGAGTTAGCAATTGAAGATATTGCCCCCAAGGATAGTGAACTTATTCAGGTACAATATCCCTTCTTTTTTAAAATGACATATCATATCTTACCCCTCAATCCTTTAGTTAATTTACTAATCAACTAGTTATCTGTCAATAGGATTCCCAAAGTGAAGCCATATGTCACGAGGTCTGTAATAAATATCTATAACTATTTTACCATGTTATAAAATTATTTTGTACATAACTTTGATGTTATCTGTGATAGGAATTATCAAGTCGAGATGCTTCCCCAAAACACGGGAAACCTATTCAGGTACAATATCATATATTATCCAGTATACCTTTTATTAGTTTTCTAATCAACTAGTTATCTGTCAATAGGATTCCCTAATTGAAGATGAAGGGGAGGAGGTCTGTAATAAAAATCTCTTACTATTTGACCATGCTATATTATTATTTAGCACATAACCTTATTGTTATCGGTTATAGGAATTACAATGTTTAGATGCTTCCCCAAAAGACAGGGAACTTATTCAGGTATATTGACTATTTTTCGACTCTCACATCTTACCCAATATTCATTAGATTAGTTAACTAATCAATTAGTTATCTGTTAATAGGACTCCCAAACCGAAGCTAAAGGGGATGAAGAGGTTTGTTGGAAATCTCTGTACGTATTTTCTATTGTTACATAATTACTTATTTTATAACTTTATTCTTATCGGGTATAGAAACAATCAAGTGGAGATGCTCTTCCAAAAGACAGGGAACCCATTGAGGTATAATGTCTCTCTCGTTTTCGACTCTCATATCTTACCCAGTTAACCTTTTATTAGGAACTAATCATTTAATTATCTGTTAATAGGATTCTCAAACCGAAGGCGATAATGAAGGAGACGAAGAGGTCTGTTAAAAATTCTGTAACTATTCTTACCTTGTTATATAATTATTTATTACATAACTACATATTTAGTTTAATAATCTATTAGTTATCTGTTATCCAATAATCATTAGTTTAGTTTAATAATCTTACCCAATAATCATTAGATTAGTTAACTAATCAATTAGTTACTTGTTAATCAATTAGTTACCTGTTAACTAATCAATTAGTTACCTGTTAATCAATTAGTTACCTGTTAGATTAGTTAACCAATCAATTAGTTACATGTCATTGTTTTCTAATCTATCAGTTATCGGTTAATAGGGTCCCCGAAATGAAACTGCTCCAGAGATGGCAGTTGACCCTCTTCAGGTTTGAAAACATCATTAGCATTTTGATTCCTTTTTGCTTTTTCAGGATCCCCCTGTTCTTGTGGCTGCCCCAATTTCTGTTTGTGAGTCAAACAAAGTTTTGGTCCCAAAGAAGGTTTGTTCCTTTTATTGCGTTTCCAATCATGCATTATTTTCAAAATGGCAGTTTCATTTTGTTATCTTATGCAGGGAGATGTTCCATCTCAGACTAGTGTTGTTGGTAATAATGGAGGAAGAAGGAGTAAAAGGCTTAGAACGAGATCTTCCAAGTTAGATGGTCGGTTTCAGTTTGATAAGAAAACGAAGCTTTTGGTAGGACACCCTTCTCCCATCGCCAATACTAGTGGATGTTTAGATCCCGAAGAGCGTTTTAACCGTTCCTTGAAAAAACTGAAAGCGATAAGGTTTTTCTTATCTTTCTTTTTCTTACTGGCATTTGTTATGTTAGATAGATAATTTCTTTATTTGTTAATAATTTTGTTACCGATTTTGCAGCTCTATTTCTTTAGGCCCCGATGTTTCTATCACCAGCAAGGATGTCCTTGAGTTAATTGAGAGGAAAAAACCTTTGACGAACAAGGTTATCTGATATATAATAATATTGTTACGGGTTAACTTGAGTAGTTATCCGATAATCATTTTAATCGATTGCTATATTGTAGGTCATGGACGCCCTGTTAAAATTCAGCAGGCACATTCTCCGTACACACGAGGTGGATTGCGGAAAACTTCGTGTTGATGTGCTTGATACCAAGTTTATCTCTCAATTGTGCCGCCTTTATCCGAAGTTCACCAAAGCCCCTGTTCCTCAAGATTTCCAGTTTCCTACAGCCTTGGTTGATACTGTTTCTGGTGTTGGGGAGCTGGACCGTGCTGAGCTGTTTACTGAAGTTGACTACCTTTATCTGCCATTCAACTTTGACAAAAAACATTGGGTTGCCTTATGTGTTGATCTTAATTGTGCCAAGATTACCGTTCTCGATTCTAATGTTCATTTGCGTACGGATGCTAGCATCAAGGCGGATATCGAGCCTCTCTCCAAAATGCTTCCTATTCTCTTCAGACAGGCGGCATCTAATCCAATAATGAGCCAGCTCTTACCTATTCCATTTTCAGTTGAAAGATCTCTTTGCATCCCGCATGTGACTTCACATGTTGATTCCGGCTTGATGACTATCTTTCTCATCCATGCGCATTCTGCTGGTGGTATGGATGATTGTGCTGAATTTCTTCCCGAATTCATCGAAGCTGAAACCAAAAAACTTGTCTCTGCTATCATTCTCGCTGGTGTCCCGTAGTTCTCCCCTTGTTTTGTTTTAGTATGTACTATGTTCTTTTCATATAATATTTCCCATGTTCTATTCCATATTTGTTAGTACTCTCTTTTGTCCTTTATATTGAACTTACTTCGTTTCGGATCATTATTATTATTATCCTTTAATTTCTATTAAATTTTGCCTTTTTGTCATCAACAACGATAAACTAATATAGTTAATGTATTTGTTACAGACATAACCTAATAATGACATATATGTGTTTGTTTTTTAGGAGAGATAACATTTAACAGAAAGGAAAGTTTTATCGGAGCAAACCATTTGTTACTTATATTTATATGAATAAGAGATGAAGTCAGAACAAGTGATTCGTTCTGTTATTTAAGAAGTTTCGAAATACCCAATTAATTACGTATATATGTTAGTTTAATTTTAGAACAAATTATATGTTCTGTAAAATTACTAATGATAGTTAACTAACATGTTAGTCAGATAACTTTCAAACATTCTTATCTGTGTTTCATTCGATTCTTGTACTTCTAAAGAAACTTCTAAATATGTAATATGTTCCCCACGTAACTTCTTGCTTAGACACTAACTTTATATTTGTTCATTCTTTAAAACTTCTAAATCTTAACAAGGCACATCCAAGTAACTTCTTGATTAACCGATAACTTTAGATTGTTCATTCTTTTAGCGTCTAAATCTTAACTTAACAAGACCCATCCACATACAAAACAGATCACATAACCTTTCGACAAAGCCACGCTATTGAAACCACCACAACCACGAGTACACAAACTGATTTCATGCTCGCCTTTTCCGTACTCTCCTTTGGTACCTTCAGCTTTTGCTCAATTATCTCATTCTTCATCTTGTTCATCTCTCTTTCCATCTCCTTCACCATCTTACTTTGCAGCTCTACATTCTCCATGACCATTTTCTTTAAATCATTGACGTCTTCTAGGAGTTGGTTGTGCCTCCTTTCAACCATTCTAATCTCCTCTAGAAGAGCATCATCAACCCAAATGAATAGGTGTTTTTCCTTTTTATCCTAAAAAAAGACCCAAATCGGAAGCTTAAATTACTGAGCTAAATAAATTTTCATAAATTTATTTAACCAATTCATTACCAGGACGCCCCTAACGCATCTGTAGAATCTTCGATACGGGTTTTCATCTGTCTTCGAAGTGAAGGTAGTTATCTCGTCACCACACCAGCATCTACTCGGAACACCTCTGCGAGTAGTTCTCGAAGTGAGTTGAGATGAACCAGAAGTAGAAAATTGACTCATAACTTGATTGTTTCAGAGATAAACAAAACGAAGCAGATGCGAGTGAAGAAGAACCGGAGAGGAAGCTGCACACTAGTGAAGCAGAAGAGACTCTGAAGTGTCCTTGGAGAGAGGTAGGTAACCCTAATTTTGTAAGTTTCCCCAAATCGATTTTAATAACGAGAGGTGAAGTGGAACCCTCGGTTTCAACAAGAGAGGTTAAATTCGATTTCTGTACCTCTAAAGAAACATCCAAATTAGTTATATGTTTACTACGTAACTTCTTTCTTAACAACTAACTTACTTTGTTCATTATTTTAAAGGATTTTTTGTATTATTTATTATTAGTAGTTTATCTGTTTATACATTTTGGTAACTCAGTAATAATAACAATATCATTTGTTTTAGACTTCATACAAGTGTATCTCACAAAGTTATATAACCAATGTGTTATCTTGATTGATGGTGAGAATCTGTACCCACCAATTCCCTCAAAATTCCATAGATCTTGCATTAATTTGTTTCTTATCCTATAAATCAGTTGGCTATGGTCTAAACAAACCCTTATCGCAGTAATTTGTTTCGTATGTCAGTTGTTTTTTTAGGTTCCCCAATATTTTTCTTTATACCAAATTCGTAATAAATATGTTATCGTTTTATCAATGGTAGCTCGATAACATTCTTCTTACGCGTAGTCCAAACATTAACTGGCTTTCATTAAATAATTAAACAGTAACCGACGGATGGGTATTTTCTTCAATAATTATACATATTAGGCCACTAGAATCCGCATTCTATACACCAAAATTATTCTACTGGCATCATCAGCTTTATTTATTTAACATCCCGTCGAGCAATTTTAGTTTGCCCAACGTCTTCCATCCGTTCTTCTTTCCCAAAAAACTAGCTTCCCCTGCTTTCTACGGCTCCTGTGTGTTATCACAATTTTCGGTAACAAGGTTTTCTTAAGTTTTTTTTATATTGAAAATATAATTTAAATTTATTACCGTCATTGGTCCCCTGCAAGTTGCTCGATTGTGGCCCAGTGAACGGCAGCGTGTGCAGCGCTTACCCGACGTTCTCTGAAACATAATTCATCAGGAAAATATTAGATATCCCGATAACAAAAATTTTACCATTATTTAAATAGCAAATAACTATTAATTCACCTTGAATTCTCCCCGAGAAAATAGTCTCCTTTTTCTTGGCCGCCCTGGTGGCCGTCTAACATATGGTGGCGCTAGCTTCCCTCCCCCGATATCATTTGGTGATGGTGCTAGTGTTGCCATATCTGGGACGGGCATAATCATTTCTTTGTACGCTGACCGTAGTTGTGGAACTGTGTGGTGGACTCCAACCATGGTGTCAACTCTTATCCCTTCTCTGATTGCGGCAGCTATTGCATGGGAACATGGTATAGTAAGAAGCTGAAACTGTCTACAGGTGCATGTTCTTTCCCACAGATTTACGGCGTACCCGCAGTCCACGATATCTCTCACCTCATATAGCCCATCCCCTATTTTCAACACTCCAAATCCTGCCCCCTTTTCAAAGTTCTCTATCACCATATCATTTACCTTTGGAGGCAATATGTTTTCTTCCATACGAGCTGCTTCCCTCCGTAGAGCAAACCACGTAACCAAAGTTGTTCTCCAAGATTCGAGGATCGAGATCACCGGATAGTCTCTTGCCATTGTCAACACATTGTTTAACGATTCTGCGATGTTGCTTGTCATCACGTTATATCTTTCCCCAACAAAATGAGATCGGGTCCAATGCTCAAACCCTATTCCGGTGAGGTAGTCAGCACATGGCCCGTTCATTGCTCGAATCTCCGCAAAGATTTTGTTGAAATCACATAGGCGGTAGGCCCTGGCTGCGCTCGACACTAGACTTCCTAGGGCTTCGTTTTTGAAGATTGCGATTATATTTCTTTTCAAATGAACCACACAAGCCGCGTGGGATGCCATTGGATACACCTGTCATCATATTTAATGGAACTCTATAACATTAGCATATCTCATTTCTAGTTTGCTTAGTATTTATTTTTGCATTAAAAACTAATGTATTTAGATATCTCTTATATTTTTATTTTATCTTATTTGGTAACCCCTCATATATTAAATACAAATGTTATTATCAGATAACCCATATTTCCTTTACTGTATTAGTTTCAACATTTCATTTTCACAATTATTTATTAAATATAAACAAAGTTCTTATACGTTAAAGAGACTGATTTTGTGGTAAATAATATGTTATCTACCAATGTTTACCTTCCTAATACTTGCGTATATGGAAGCGTGCCTGTCTGAGACGAACACTAGGTCTGGTTCGTCTGGGACAACTTCAGTTAGCTTCGTCATGAACCAGGTCCACGCCTCGTCGTTTTCACTATTAACAATTCCAAATGCGAGTGGAAAAACCTGGAAATTCGCATCTTGGGCGCTTGCAGCTACTAGACAACCTCCATACCTGCCTCTCAAGTGAGTTCCATCGATGACAATAACTTTTCTCATGTAAGCATACCCCTTGATTGATGCGTGTAGAGCAAAGAATAGATACTTAAACCTGGTAACTCCCAAGTTATCTGTCTCGGTTTCTAGCTCAGTAATAGAGTTTGGATTTGTTGCCATCAGAAGTTTGAAGTATGGTTGGATTAATGCAAAACTCCCCATAGCCGAGCCCATAGCATTGTCCATTGCAATCTCTCTTGCTCTCCACGCTTTCCAGTAAGAAACATTGAGACTGAATTCTTGCCTCAGCATTCTCCGCAACTCATTAGGCCTAGGTCCTCTTCCAACCCCAACGTACTGTGTCCTCATCAGCTTCCCTATAACTGCTGTTGATGCTTGCTTGTGGAAGTCTCCTCTGGCGTCCACGCTGCAGGTGTGCTGCAGTATTGCCGTCCTTACTTCAAACCGCTCACTGTCTTCTAATTTTGTTGCATGGGCCCGCCACGGGCATGTCGTCCCGACGCAAACAGCTATCACCATTGTTGGACAAGATTTTGCATGTATAAAGTGGAACTTTCGTCGTATTGCATGAATAGCTAGTTTTGTGCAGCAGTCATCTTTGTTTTTGAACAACCTTCCCACGAAAATGTCATCCCCTTCATAATCAGCATCTTTAAGCGCTCGTTGAAGGTAATCTGTCAATGTTATCCACACACCATCATTTAGCGTGTTATAAAAACACTTATCTCGATATATAAATATTAGCCCAAAAACAATATTATTATCCCTTGTTTACCTTCTTCTCCCGGGTCATCGAAATACGGAGGTGCATCCCGATCATACAACACTGTCGGGACTGGCGTTTCCCTTACCGCCATTTGTCTGTCTCCCTCCGGAACCTCTTTCCCCTGAGTTGAACCAGATCCCTTTTCCATTACCGGCGTACCTACTGTTATCCTCCCAGCTATGGGAACTCTTGGAGTCAAACACAATGGTCCATCCGGGTCTGTGTAATAGTCCTCCATTGCTGGTGGACCTGGCAAATGATAGCATATAATCACCATCTCTTCATTTGAATCTTATCCATATTCAATACTAGTTTTTAGATAACTCACCTATTACGCCGGTAGGAGATAGGTTACCTATCTCTGCATCCATTAGCTCCTCTGTTGAGAACGAAATACTGGTTGAAGGGGAAGTCGGTGTGCCGAATGAAGAGTCTGATGACGACAATGTTAAGATTGTTCGTTGGTTTGTTGCCATGGATGCGCCAGAAAGGGTGAGTCTTAGGCTTTCGTCTTCAGCAGGGGTTTGTTGTGACAATGTTACCCCGAAATTCAGTTCTCTCGCTGTCTTTGTTACGTCGTTGCCCAGACCTGCCCTTGCTGTCCTCCTCCTAGAGTCATCTCTGTAGCACACACATCCCGCCACATTTCTGCGACATAGTTTCTTCTAAAAGCCTCAAAATCCAGTTCTGTAGATGTTTGCGCTGCCTCAAACATTTCCTTACATGCTAATCCATTAGCGTGAGCTGTTTTTAACACTGCTGCCTCGGTAACATGTCCTTTGCCCTTCTCGCTGGCTGTTGCTTTTCGTTTCTCTGTGTCATCGGCCTGACTTGGTACCGCTGTTCTAAGAGGTGTTACGTTTAACGGCTCCTGTATCCTTACCCCTCCATTCAGGTTTAGTCTTCTTGGTCCTTCAATCGCTTCGTTTCCCTGTTGTTGTAGTTCGCTGGTACTACGCTTGTCCACGCCTGCATTTCGCGTTAACAACCGGGTTAACGCACTATCCCAAACTGATCTCGTTTCCGCGGAATTCCAGTACTTATCAGATATCTCCTCTGATGTCAATCCTCCCAGATCTAAATGGCTTTTGAAAGAATTAACATTCTTCTCCAGCCCTCCCCTTCTCACCTTAACTCGCAGATGCACCTCTTCAAGATCAGCCCTTATCGCCATGAACAGCGTCATATCTTCATCATTAAGGATGTGTATCGGGTCTGCTCGTTTCCAGTCTGGACCCATCATCCACTGCGGTCACTGATAACTTAGCTCGATTTGGTCTGTATCGCGAAGTGCCAATCTTTCTTTTACCGCATTAACAACTTTATTATATCCATCTGTCTCCCTCAGCCGAACTGCCATCGTAAAACCTTCCAAAGCGGATACATGTTCGTAACAGCCTTCATCGTCTTTTCTCCACTCCCCTCTAACCAACCGCACCACCATAGCCATATTTTTCCTGTAGAAAACAAGTCATAACCTTGTTAGTACCGAGCATCATGAATTTTATCACACTAACAATAACGAAGAGGAACGACATTTGTTAGTAGACGACAGTTTTATACCTTATCGTATTTAATGATGCTATTTAATGCTTCCCAGAATCTTCCAATCTCTCCTCTGTTCTTCGTTACATTAACTTGTTATCTGAACTTTTATGGTGCTTCTGTGTTCTGGTCTTGGCAACGGCGCTAGTTCGGTAATAAATACATGAACCCATATGCTTGCTACTTCCACAAACCGAGAAGTATCTCCGTAATCATTTTCTTTTCGCAAAATCTTTCTCTTCCCCATAACGCCGGCGCAATCTTCCCTGATCTTACCACAGAGATTTTCGAGCATTTAATGCTCTGAACCCTTGTCGTTTAAACATGGTATTTTGTGTCAGTTGTAGGGGCGTTTTCGTCAACATTTTGTGTGTCAGGAGAGAGAGAACTAAAAACGTTGTTTGCGTTCCCAAATCTTGTAATATCTAATCTTCTATTGATTTATATTTTGTTCACCCCAATAATTGGTGTTCACAGATTTTGATTTCCCAACATTGATTGTGTTGTCGCCGGCCTTCTTTTGTTCTCCTTCTGTTGTTTTCAAGCACGTGGAGGAAATACAAATGATTTTGTAATCACCATTCAAATCTTGTTTCCCTTAATAAATAGGCTCAATTTTAGTGATATCTTACAACTTGAATATTATAGTAGGTGGATTATGTGGATGTCAAAATCCGATGTGGTGATTTTATAAATTGTAAAAAAAAAATATCTGAAAGTTTTATCCAAAAGAAAAAAAAAATCCAGAGTTTCCGTAGGTTAAAGACTAAATTGAGCTAAATGAAAGAAATGAAGTAAGAGAAAAACAAAAGAGTTATCTATATTATTGGTAAATAATTCAAAGTCCTCGATCGCATACGTCTCCCACATCATGTGAGAACGACCCGAAAATCGAATCCATGAGCTTTCCTAGAACGAAACCTCACAAACCAAATTATGCAATAGGCGCGAACTCACTCTACCAAGCTCATTCTCGAAGTCGGCTACATAACTATCGTTTATTTTTATCATCGAATTAAGAGATTTAATCGTTTTGATTTGGTGATTACAATGCATCGAGTTCGACTGCAAAATTCTACAATGAACTAGATAGCTCGTATTCTGGTTTGAAACTAACACAATCAAGATTTGTCTAGGGTTTTATTTTGGGGATACGATAATCGTGAATTCTCAAAGAACAACAGAAACGATTGTAACCAAAGATGGTGTTCTTGATATTATTAAGAAAAAGATGACTTTGATCGTACAAGAGTTTGATCGTAAAAGGAAAAAGATGTTTGTGCTGTGAGAGCTTTGCGTAGTGTAAATTCTAGAGCGATATTGCTTGTCCTTTGCTTGAGCCTTGAGTCTCTTTATATATAGGTGATAAACCGCCTCTCCAGCGATATTCTCGGAAGATTTCCATTTATCTTGAAGTCGGCTCAGAATATCGCGGATTAGGATAGTTTCCTTATTTTTCGGAATCTTTGGGAGATTTCCTGATTTGAATCGATCCTTCTAGATTCTCTCTTATCATTTCCGGGTATATCGGAAATGATCCTTCTTGTTCGGAAATGATACCCTGCTTGGAAATGGTACTTTGAAAGCGAATATTTACTAAGTCTTTACCTCGGGCGATGATGAAGACTTCACCTCGGAGAAACTTGTGCAATCGGCTCGGGTACACAGGAAGGACTGGCTCGGGCACTCTAGGATGGCTTCTTCGGGTGTCCCCGAGGCGATGGGCTCAGAAACTCCCGAGGCGACCAGGCTCGGGTACCCCCGAGGCAATTGGGCTCGGGTGCTTGAGACATCTTGTTTAGGGTATCCCCGAGGCGATGGGCTCGGGTGCTTGAAACGTCTTGTTAAAGTATCCCCGAGGCGATGGGCTCGGGTGCTTGAAACGTCTTGTTAAAGTATCCCCGAGGCGATGGGCTCGGGTATACTAAATCGATTAGATGGATATCCCGAGGTGAATGATGTGATGCCCCGAGGTGATCACTGAAAGACTCCCGAAGTGTTCTAAGTCTGGCTCGGCGCCAAAGGGTGGAATCCGACCCCAACAAATCTTTCCCAACTCCCACTTAAAACCATGTGATTTAGACTTTGTATTTTTAATTAAGAAAATCCTCTAAGATTTCTTCTAGTAATTAAAATTTTCAATGTTCAAAATGTTTTCAGTAAAAGTGGATTTTAAAGTACTTTTCCAAAATCACTATTTCAATAACACTGGATAACATATGATATGTTTTTTTTAACACAAATCATTTCAAATTTTTAATTGAATACACCCTCCTAAAATGTAATTTCGCAACTGCAAAGGAAAATTGTCAAGGTTCGTTCTCTTCTTTCTCTGATCTTGAGTTCTTGCATTTTCTCTACTTTTTCCGTTATACTTCCGTCGTAGCGCCACCGTCATTAGATCTAGGTTGATTTCTCCGATCTGTCGAGCTTTGTTTCTCCGATCAACTTCTTCAATCTCCCGAGGCCAGAAAATGTCTCTATCTGATTCCAGCGATTCGCCCCGAGGTGACACTCATCTCCCTGTCTACAAGAGAAAGATGGTCTGGAGTTCCTCGAGCGACCCCGAGGCGGATACCACGGACCATCAGATCGTGTTGTACCGTGGTAGTGATGCAGAGTCGGCTTCACGGGAAGAAGACCCGAGCCGTTTCATCGTTCGGGAAGACGCGATTGCAAATGTGGCTCGGGATCAGGATTTGCCTGCTGATCCCGAGGCGATTTTGAGTAGAAGGAGGACCCCTCCACCGGCAGCTGGTGAAGCTGGAGTATCGTGCTGGCGAAATGCCCCCGAGGCGCCTCTACTTCCTATTAAGGCCGAGGAGGTTCACTACGATTCTGACGAGGCGGCTAGGTTGCTCCAAGCTAAAGTCCAAGCAGCCAAGGGTCAACAGAAGAGAAAATGAGCCAAGAAAGCTAGGAAACCTGATCCCCCGGGTTCTACTTTATGCACGGAGGATTCCCTTCGGGATCTCAAGGCTCGATTTGGTTTTAGCGAGGGGGTTGAACTGAGACTTCCAACTCCAAATGAGCGAGCCGATGATCCACCCGAGGGGTTTTTTACCCTTTATGAGGGGTTCTTCTATCATTGCTACCTTTGGCTTCCAATCCCGAGGCCGATTTTGGCGTTTCTGTGGTCGTACAAGATTGCTTTATCCCAGATAACGACCCGAGGCTTGCGACATCTAGTGGGGATTTTAGTCCGAAGTATTGAGACGGTCAATCTCGTCGACCTAAGCCACTTAAGGAATCTCCTAGAGATCCGGTGCATACCGGGCCCTGTTGAGAGATTTTACATATCTCCGAGGCCAAATAGGAGGGTTATCGGTGGTTTCCCGAGCAAGGATGAGAAATACACCGACCATTTCTTCTTCGTAGCCTTGAATGAGTATAGTGTCCACGAGGACTACTTAGGGAAAATTGTTGGAAAGTGGAGACAAATCGGTACTACGCCCGAAGCCGTATTTGCTGTCTTGTTTTGCTTTAACCTTTTTACTGACCGTTTTTCTTGTTCATGCAGATCGGAACCCGTCGTTTCTCGAAGACATTCCCGAAGGTTTTCTAGATCTCCACGACGAACTAATTGCTCGGAAGTGCGATTGGACAAAACACTTCTCTCAGGAAAGAATCTAGAGAGCCCTGCGTCTACTGCACGGAGCTCCTTGTCAATCTTCCTCCGAATCGTCCGATCATCGCCTAGATCATCTTATCGAGATGCAGGGCGCCGCGCAGTCTCTGAGAGCCAGGAAAGCTGCCGAAAAGAAGGCGGCTAAGGAAAGAGCTATTTTGGAGGCAAATTTCAGACCTCCTACTCCTCCCGAGGCCAGCCTTGAGGTCGTCATCGGTGCCGAGGCGACTAATGAAGCTCGGGATATGACCTCAATCGTGCCCGAGGTGGTAGGGTACATCTCCCCTTCGACCGATGTCCCCGAGGTGGTAGGGGCTCTGGTTATTGCTGCCCCAGCCGCCGAGGCTAAATCCAAAACTAGGGGAAAAAGACCCCGAGGTGAGGGCTCGGGAGTTTCCAGGAAGGAGAAGAGGAGTCGTAGTGAAACTCCAGTGTACAAGGACAAGATCGCGTCGGCGAATTTTGTCGCTTCTTGCTCGGGTCCACCACTGCCTGCTCCCGAGGCCTTGTTGGAGGCTCAAAACTACCGCGAAACCGCTGCGGGATTCCTGAAGGTATTGGTTCATTTCCGAGGCACCCTCGGTCTTTTAAAATTTAGAATTTTTGTACTAACTTAAACTTTTGCGTCCCAGGCTTTTCATTCGATGAACAGCATGGTTCGAGCCTACGACTCTTCGAACCGGAAATACGAGACCTCCCGAGCCGAGGCAGAGGTCAGGACTGCTGAGGCCGATGCCAAGATAGTCGAGGCGGATGCCAAGAGTGCCGAGGCTGAGGCCAAGATTGCCGAGGCGGCGACCATGATTGCCGAGGCAGATGAGGCTAGGCGGAAAGCCGAAGCGTTGGCCAAAGCAGAGAAGGTCGAGCGTTTAAAGACAGCCGAGGATGGTCTTCGCCTTCGTCGGAAGTTGGAGGCTGAAGTCGAACGCTTGAACCGACTATTCACCGAGGAGAAATCTCTTCGGGAGAAGGAGGTAGGTCGGGAGAGGAAAGCGGCCAAGAAGGAGTTCGCCAAGAAGATCGAGGCGATAGAGGCGAAGATGGACCTGTACGGGAAGGCGTCCGAGCGCTACATGTTCCTGGTCCAGGCTAGGGCTAATGCCGAATTGATTGCCGATCTTGAAGGCGGCAAAAACGTCGAAGATGAGAAGGAGGAGGTGCTCCAGTGGAAAGCGGAGTACGGAGATGCCGAGGAAGAGTTCGTGCGGATTGGAACCGAGCTGCGAGAGGATCTGAGGCTTCCTCCGGCTTCTCCAGATTCTGTTGAAGATAATTTCGGAAACAGATCAATCGAGGGAGTTGCCGCGGGGATTGGCATTACGGATCAGGCGGGCACATTTTTGCCGCCCGTGGCAGCACATGTCGAGGAGCGGGACGAATAAGTCCGAGGCGTTTCTTTTTCTCTTTTTATGTTTCGAGTTTCTTTTGTAAAAACTTATGCCTGGATGGCTTTATCCACATAATGTATGTTCTTTCTCAAGTACTTGATGCTAAGTAACTGGATTTAATCATCGATAAATTAATTGGGTTTTGGTAAAAATGAGTTTCGGTTCAGTAGGAGTTAACTTTCGGAATAGCGAACCAGTGTTAAGATAACTGGGTTTTTGTAAGTGACGCGAAAAAGTTA